GTTGACCCGGGTGATAGGGTAACCCTACCTGTGAAATTGGCTTGTAAACCAGTGCTAACTTTAACCCGCTGGCTTGGGTAAACAGGCCCTATGTTTTCAACAATGAGAAACAAATAACTGAACTGTTTCTTACCGTCAGCGATAAATCCAATTTCTTCATCAAGGGCCTGAGGAAAAAATAACATGAAATTTACTGACGAGAAAACGTTTGTTTCAATATTTCACGTGGATGGACACAACGCCATGCGTTTCGCAGTGACTCTTCACGTCATTGATATTTTTGGCTGATTACAAACGTGGCCGAAGGAATTAAACTCCCCACTTTTAGCTGTCCGCCGATCGATTGCATTAATTAAAGACTTATTTTCATATGTCGGGAAAATCCCAGACGATCGGATACTTTAGTGTTTCCCGACTGTCCCAGATTTGGCCGAGTAATGAAAACTTTAAATCGTAGAAATCCCTGATCGTCTGGGATGGAAGGGGACAAATCTGCAGCGTTTCTATTTTCCCGACGCCTCCCAGATTTCTGCGTTGGTCGGCGATGATTCCCGACAAATGAAAACTCAAATTTTTACCGTCGGGACGTCGGCGCTAAATTGTTGGGCTCCGGTCTCCCTATCATACATTTGTGTACAAATTTGATTTTTTTTTGGCGCATTTTCCATTTCCCGCCAAATTCAATATCTTGAGAATCTGGGACAATATAAGTCCAAGCGCGCACCACACAACATTTCAAGATTTTGTCTAATTCAGTTACCTGTTTTTCTTTTTCTTCTGTTGTTGTGGCGGTAAAGGAAGCAGCTGCACGTGTACCTTATTGCAGGAAACAAAAAAAAAAGAATTTGGAAAAATGAAATATTGTTGGGTCAGATTTAAGTTAATTAATGAGAAATGTTAGCTGCCACCAAGGTGAAAGTGTGAGGCAGTGACAAAAACAGGAAAACATAGAACATTTCGTCACTGAAACGTGTGACTAGAAAGTTTCTGAAAGTTTCTCAAACAAATTTACAAAAAGGGAGCTGCACGTGCATAGCCTGTGTACAGACGTCCTGCCTCCCTCAGAAACTGAGGGAGGGGGGGCGTCTGTACACGGGCTACACGTGCACCGTTTTTTTTGTTTTTTTGCTAACTAGACCTATTGTTGTTGTTTTTATCGTTCTCGTTGTTTTCACCATTTCTTTAGCACTGTTTGGGGAAACTACAGATATTTAAGATAGCTTCGCCCCTTGTCACTGTTTTGACGAGTAGGCAACGGTTTGAAAAATTACAGTGTTTGTATGAGAATGTTTTATAATTTCTGTAAAACTATTAATTTTAAATTAACGTTACCCAGCAACGGATAATTCAAATTGTGGCTGCTGTACCTGTGCTCTCCGGAGACTGTTTTTTTTTTTTTTTCGTCTGCAATTTTTCCTGGGTTATACAATACCACATGAAAAATTTATGCAGTTTGATTGGCTTAGAGCAGTGATATTTGAGCTTAATTTGAAATGCCTACATGTGAAAATTACAAGCCTTTTTGGGTAGTAGTATCAACAAACTGAATAGCATGATTTAATCATGATATTTGGCATAAATACCACTTTTCATATTGCAAAAATTCACTCGAATTTCACTCGCCTAACGGCTTGTGAAATTACGTTTTTTCTCTTCGAGTGTCTGCATTTTAATGCATCCGTCTGTCTGAATGTAATCACTATATGTAACTGTACCTTTAACTGGTCTTTTTCTTGATGCCCCTTGATTTTGGTACCATGAGAAACCATGGCTCAGTTTTTCCACTTCGCCTGTAACAAAGCAATGGGCAAAAAGAAAAGAAGATATTTTATGCAATATTTGTCTAGATTATACCTATTAGCACGAGATGTATATCTAATATAGAAAACAACTTAATGTACGCTTTCGTTCTATACAGTAGAACATGTTGACTCTCAGGGGTTCATGGGCATTTTTCGTACGTAGTAACAGGGAATTATATCCCTGTCTATTCAGCAGGCCTTTTAATTTACGTCAGGAATTTCCGCAATCAAATTACAATTCAAACGTCTCCAACATTCAAAAAGCCGTTATTCCTTGCAGTAAGAACGAACAAGCACAAATCGCTCATCCTTCTACTGGAGGTCCGGTTTTCTGCCGATTTTACTTTACGACACCATTTAATGATATGTGACACTAACTTTATTTCAATTCTGAATACGGCACCGGCAGTATGCACTGGATTGATGGGTCCATGGATTGAAAAGTGAGGTTAATTTCTGTTACCGGATATGAAGGGAAAACAAATGTTCCTTTACCTTAATAACGGGTGTTTGTAATAGGGGGTTCAATTGAGTATAATAAGGGCTTTCCCCTGCTGGGTAAGAGAGGACTGTCCGTAATTAATAAGTGGATACATGTAGAACAGATAGAACAGCTACAATCACGGACAAAAGTAGTTGAGAAGGTTGAATAACTTAACAGCATTATCGGTCCGTTTCATACGTCTTATGTCTATGTTCAAAAAAGACTCCTGAATACCCCTTCCCCTCCCTCCCATATTCAATGTTAGGACATGTAACAACAATTACGCACAACAATTTAGTTTTGACCAATATTGATCCAGGGGGCGGGGGGACAAGTACAAGGGAGGTAAAAAGTGGTAACCTTCTAAACATTTTTGAGGATGATTGCATATAGATCATAATGTTAATTATTTTCTTATACTGAAAGTAATAATTCAAGGTAAATAGTTTCAAACCTTTTTTCTTCGAAGAAGATTGAGTCGCCTTTTTGTCAGTAAGCTGACGTTTCTTTATTGTAGAATTGGCTTCGCCTACGTTGTTTGTGTCATCATCCTTTTCAATGGAAACTTCAATGGAAGATTGAGTCGCCTTTTTGTTTGTAAGCTGAACTTTCTTTATTGTAGAATTGGCTTCGGCTACGTTGTTTGTGTCATCATCCTCTTCGATCGAAACTAAGCAAAAGATTATTGATGTTACAAAGTGGCCAGCAGACACATGGAGAGGCGTTTACAGAAGGGAAAAAAAGATCCTTGCCTATATAAGGGTCCCAGGATAACATGTACAGTTGTACATTATATCAATGACAATTGACTGGTGAATTCGACACTGTTGCTTATTGTGGTTAGAGTTGTAGAGGCAAGAAAGATTTTTTTTGTCGATGCAGGAATAAGGTTTGCTGTTAAACCTAGCTTTTTATGTGCATACGATAATTTGAAAAGGTTTAACAGTAAAGTAAAATTTGATTTGATTGGTGCACCAAGTGGTTAGACATCCAGCTTTCCCCCAACCCCCACAGTCTTTTCTTTCCCGCCGTCTGGACTCATTACAGCTCATTATGTTGATAAAATTCACCTGCGTCGTTCTGATGGTCCATATCCATTAGTTGGTCACCGTCTTCCATCTGGTCGTCCTTGTCATTGGCTTGGACGACGGTAAAACTGACCTTGGTCCCGGGAGGGAACGTAGATGTGGTATACTCTCCGTCCAGCAAAATCTCGTCACCCCTGCGACAGCTATTGTCCAGAGGGTAAATAACAGTGAAACAACCATATCTCTCTTCCCCCAGGGCGATAACAACTTCGGCTTTGTTCAGCCAGCGAGTGTCCGTGGAACCTTAAATTTAAAGAAAACAATTTATTGATTTTACATTTATGATGGAATTTCCCTACAGAAAACAGGTACAGCTATTTTTTTGGTAAATATACTGGCAACTTGTTACTTAATGCGTTGTTTTTTAAACTCTGACTTCTTGTGCGATATCCAGTTTTTTAAAATCAGTAATCACAACTATAACAAAATTCTGAAATCTGATTGGCTTTCAACTGTCCTGATTTCAGCCTAATAGACCTCTGTCCCGCGGCGGCCGTTTAAAAGAGAGAGAGGGGGAGATTTAATAAGCTTTGTTTACAGCTGTTTCGAGAAAGGTTGTCGGAAGAAAAGTGCACGCGACAATCCCGAAAGGTAATATGGGATATGATCAATACACTGTTCGTAACGACTGAGGCTGTCGAACCTATAGTTTTGTTGCTTTCCTTTAGTACTCGCAAACATATGTCCGTTGCCTCTCGTAGCATTCTTTCAAATTTCTTTGAAAAACAGTGCCCTCAAAACCACCCACAATGCCTTTCGGGATTGTAGCGTGCACTTTTTCCGACAACCGTTCTCGAAATAGCTGTATACACAGCTTGGACAGTACGCGCCATCGCGAGCGCTCTTACTAAATGTTTTTTTTTTACCGCTGGCCAAAAAAATCTTTAAATTTTGTTGGGTTTTGATTTCAAAAGAGCCTAATATATCACAAATTTTGTTTAAGTGATGATTAAATGGTAACAGACCCTCCTGTCGTCCAATTCGGTCTGTAATTATACTCCTAATTAAGTAAATCGGACTCCTGCTACGTGGTCGTCCGATTTTGTTCATCACTCGTATGATTACAGACCGAATTGGACTCTACTCAGTCCTATTACCATTACTTATCATTTGCGGTTTTCATAATGGGACTGACTTGCGTTAAATACATTTTGTCTCAAAAGAAAGCCTTGTAACTATAATTAAAACGTCTAAAATAAACTTACACTAGAACAAGCACTTACAAATTATTGAAATTTCTTGTCTTGTTTCGTTGTCTTCATCTGTAAATAAAGAAATCAGGACCTCAATCATTTTTCCTGAGTTGTCGATGGACCGTATATTTTTTATTATAATCTCTAGGACTATACAACATCTTAAGAGGTTTGGATGGGCTTATAAACGGATGAGGGAAGGGGAAAAAGCGGAAATAATTAAGAACAAAACTTTTGAAATAACATACAGCATTAGTGCGCTTTAATTTTTTGGTAAGTACTTCGGGTCCTAGAACTTTTGTATGATTAATTGAGAATGTCGAAAAACACTGAACAGTACAAAATAAAATAGTATACTTATACAGCAACTGTGGAAAAAACCGACGAGGAACCAAAATTTCTTGTGTCTCTGACATCTGCCCCTGCAAAAAGAATGAAAGTCCTTGTACCCGTGATTGCCGATGTCATAATTGTAGAAATGTTAACCATAGCAGCAACACAAGCGGAAGAGAAAATGGAATGGATGAAACTGCTTTCAACAACGGTTGTCGATGTGGACAAGGAAACAAATCTAAAGACGACGACCTAATGCAAGAGTCGTGTCGAGATGGCAGTCGAAAATCGAGATGTCCGTGTGTTGCAAGAGGTATTGGATGTACAAATCTTTGTAGGTGTATACTGACTGTGCAAACATCATGCAGGCTCGCGTCGCCCAAGTAACACCAATGAAGCAAAGAAAAAGAAAGAGAGAATTAGTTTCTCCCTACAAAAGGAAAAAAGGAAAGGAGTTTATGGAAGACCATAAAGCATCTATCAGTTCAGGGACCTGGAGAAATCTAGAAACATTTTGTTTGATAGTATGCCGAGAGGTGCTGTTATCCCATAGCATTTCGGAGAATCCGGGAAATTTGAAATTGTTGTACAATTTCGTTGCCCAATCTGATAGCGTTAAGGCAATGTTACTACCCATTAGTGTCAAATCTACCTCACAAATTGCCGCAAAAATAGCATACTTGAGTAAATTCCATGAAATTTGAAAAAATCTGACAATGGACTAATCTTGTAACGGTGTAGTCAAGATACGTTCAAAATTTTAAGTGGCACTCCCTTTTATAGTTGCCGACATCACGAGGCAAAAAGCGATAGTGACAATCTCGACTGAATGAATTAGTGACCTTCAAACTATATATCGGTGTATTACGTATCGCACAGAGTTAAGTGTTTGTTTAATTTTAATTTTCAGTCGTGCCACTGTACGGAATCCAACTTATCTTGACACAACTGATATCGCCCATTGTATTATTCCTTATAGCCGCAAAAGTTACAATCAATTCAGATATAATAATTTGGCATATAAGGTGATCCACACTTAATGTAAAAAAGGAAAACGGTGTTGAAAGAAAAAAGAAAAAAAACGATTTTGCTTTGATTTGCATAATGAAAAGTGATCAGATATCAGTTGCATTGCATACTGAACCTTAATGTTGGACGTAACAGATCTGACCTCGAGATCAGGCAAAGCTAAGAGTTGGCAGTTAGGTCTGACGTTAGGGTTTGTACAACTGACCTCTGGAAGTCTCAAAAAAACTTGAAGACTAAATCGGTAGATGGAGGAAACCAGCTTGGAGTTATCTGGTATTTAATGCAAAACTGAACTGATCTACATTAGTTACTCGATTTCCTCGTGTTGTGCGATTTTCAACGATTGTCTCGATAATAGATAAGGTATGATTAAAAAACGAATGCAATAAAACTTCAGCCTCACTTGTGTGGTATTGACTAAAAGTATCCAAACGTTATACCCGTTGTAGCACCCTGCCCCGTTGTTAAGTCATTTTAAAAGGGCGCCTTAAGACTCAGCGTTTTATGCAAAATATCTGATCGTAAAAATATTGCCCAGAAATTTCGCTTACATTTTTTAGAAAAACATGATAAAAGTATAACAGCCAAAAGAAACTATAAAAGGCTTCAGATGCTATAGCATTGAGACACAAAGCCTTCGTCATTGACCAAGCGCTGTTCTCAAAAAAGGAAACTTTTGTTTGACTTCCGTCAAAGAGAAAAAATGTACCAAATAAAGCTAATTGCTAGACAACAGGGTAACAGAATAACAAGGTAACAAGGTAACAGAGTAATAAAGTAACAAGGCAATAGAGTAACAAGGTAATAAGGTCAGAGTAACAAGGTAACAAGGTAACAGAGTAACAAGGTAACAAGGTAACAAGGTAACAGAGTAACAAGGTAACAAGGTAACAAGGTAACAGAGTAACAAGGTAACAAGGTAACAGAGTAACAAGGTAACAAGGTAACAAAGTAACAAGGTAACAGAGTAACAAGGTAACAAGGTAACAAGGTAACAGAGTAACAAGGTAACAAAGTAACAAGGTAACAGAGTAACAAGGTAACAGAGTAACAAGGTAACAAGGTAACAGAGTAACAAGGTAACAAGGTAACAAGGTAACAGAGTAACAAGGTAACAAGTAACAAGGTAACAGAGTAACAAGGTAACAAGGTAACCAGGTAACAGAGTAACAAGGTAACAGAGTAACAAGGTAACAAGGTAACAAGGTAACAGAGTAACAAGGTAACAAGGTAACAAGGTAACTGAGTAACAAGGTAACAGAGTAACAATGTAACAAGGTAACAGAGTAACAAAGAGAACAAGGTAACAAGGAAACAAGGAAACAGAGTAACAAGGTAACAAGGTAACAAGGTAACAGAGTAACAAGGTAACAAAGTAACAAGGTAACAGAGTAACAAGGTAACAGAGTAACAAGGTTACAAGGTAACAAGGTAACAGAGTAACAAAGACAACATGGTAACAAGGAAACATTGAAACAGAGTAACAAGGAAACAAGAAAACAAGGCAACAAGGAACCAAGCAGAAAGAGCGAAGTTATAAGTTGATTAGGTAAAAGCGGTACAATATATGTCCCCATACATGAAGTACCTACCAGCGTTGGGTTGATTTGGCGCATGCACTGCACTCTCTCTCGTACCTTCACGGACTGATGACGAAATCGAATTGAAAATTAAACGAGATTTGATTTCGATTCTATGAGTCATCGGCCGGGAGTTTAGGATTGTCGGGTGGGGAGTATCACGGGCGCATCGAGACACTCAAGGCTATGAGAGACTGAGCGGCATACACCGTATTCACAAATGGCGGACACGCGGGAAAAAACTGGTGCCTACTCATGAAAGCGAGGCGTTGGAGGGTAAACAAAAATTGCAAATGAAGACTTTCAGTGAACTTGCAGAGTGTTTAGCACGGATTCCACCTAAAATAACTTTGCACGGACTTCTTTTTAAATACAGTTACGTGGGATGTCTTCTGCTTTTAATGTTTAGTATTGATTTGCTGTTTGCAATCAAAAGGGACGCGTATATCTTCAAGGAAACAGGATGATTTTGTAGGTTTCCGAAGCATCAGAAGCTCGACAAGGGGGTGATGGCTGGAGAAAAGCGGCAAACATGTTGGCCCAAACTTCACATTGAAACCGAGTTCGAAAGCCAGCTCACTGCAATTCGGTAAAACAGAAATATCAACAATGCAAATCTTGGTGGCAAGAAAAAAAGAAATAAGTGATGGATATATGGCCTACTTGTTAACGCAAGAGACGTGTGCCATTGAACAAAACAGTTCAAATCGAGA